GTTATTGACGTAATCATGTTGTCTACTTCCCTTGTTGGTGGTGTAATCCATTACATTTAGGGTTGGGTGCCGGGGGTGGAGTCTGGGCTTTCTGCATTCCAGCATATGGTTTAATGCTCAGTGTTCACTCAGCTTCAATTAAAATCGTTTTTGTTATTGTTTATCTATGTGTGTGTATCTAAGGAGGTCAGAGGAATGTCAGGCGCCCTGGAACTGGAGTTACATGTTGCTGTGATCCCTGGGGTGGGTACTGGGATCAACTCTGCTGCTCTTTGGGAAGTAGAAAAAGATAAGATCTCCTGAGTAAATTGGGAGTATGGAGACCATAGGAGAGAAAGGGAGAGGAGCAGAGAAAAATGTATAACTCAATAAAATCAGTTAAAAAGAAACAAAGGATGCAAGCTCTTAAATGCTGAGCCACCTCTCTAGCTCTCATCGCTTCGGTCCTGTACTGGCCTGGAGGTCATGGCATTAATACCACCTTGCACTCTGGAACCCACTTGTGAGATCACAGATGTGTGCCACTGTACCTGGCTGTGTGCTACCTTAGAAATACAGTTTAAGCTGGGTGGTGGTGGTGGTGCACACCTTTAATCCCAGCACTCGGGAGGCAGAGACAGGCAGATCTCTGTGAGTGTGAGGCCAGCCTGCTCTACAGAGTGAGTTCCAGGGCAGGCTCCAAAGGTATACAGAAACCCTGTCTTTGAAAAAAAAAAAAAGAAAGAAAGAAAGAAAGAAAGAAAAAAAAAAGAAAATTTCCATCTGTTTATAGTTGGTTTTTGTTTGTTTATTCAACTTACTGTCTGTGTAGGGTAATATTGGTGTCATAGTTTTAAATTATTTAAAGACAGGATCTCACTATGTAGATCAGGCTATCCTTGAACTCCGAGCTCCGCCTGCCTCTGCTTCCTGTGTGCTGAAATTAAAGATGTGTACCACCACTTTCTATCACTGTTTTAAGTTTCAGGGTTTTTTTTGATACATCTATGCCCATTCAAACTATTATCTCTCTTTGTGTGTCTCTTGATATCTTTTTCATTTCTAAAAATTTAATTTTATCAAAATTAGAAACGTTTGACCATGGGATTGCAGCATTTGTCCTTTCTATGTGATTATGGTGCCCCCCCCCATGGGCCCATGTGTGTGACCAGGTGGCCACCAGCTGGTGGATGGCTCAGCTTTTAGTAACTCTAGCACTGAAGGATCCGAGTCGTTCTGACCTCCATGGTCTGGAACACATGTGACACATACATAGAGACACTTAAACATACACATGAATAAATATAGAAATAAAATCTTGGGGCTGGAGAGATGGCTCAGAGGTTAAGAGCATTGCCTGCTCTTCCAAAGGTCCTGAGTTCAATTCCCAGCACCCACATGGTGGCTCACAACCATCTGTAATGAGATGTGGTGCCTTCTTCTGGCATGGAGGTGTATAGCCAGGAGGAATATTGTGTATATAATGAATAAATCTTTTAAAAAATAAAATAAAATCTTTTAAAAATTTTTATGACATCTCATTTTATCACTGTTGGTTAAAAATAAAATCCTCAAAAAAATGCACACACATACACGGTCCGAGCATTTTAGACTAGTCATGGTGGCACAGTTTTTGTCTTAGCACTGGGGAGGCAAAGGTAGGTAGATACCATAACATTGAGGCCAGCATGATCTGTATAGTTTCAGTCCAGCTACTGCTACATAGTGAGTGAGACCTTGTCACTACGATTGTTGCAATAAATATCCCTGGAAGTCAGTTTCTGTCTTCTCCAGGGTTTGCTGTCCCTTTGTTGAGGCCTCAGTTTGCCATTTGTTTAGTGTTACCAAAGTATTTGTTACCAAAACTATTACCTGTGTGTTGGCAGTCTGCCTCCAGAGTGCACTTTGTATTTAGTTATTATTTTTCACAGATTTCTTTGAATGTCAAGAGTTAAGAAGCAAGGCTGGAAAAGGCACATGTGAACAGATTTGTGGACGGCCGAGTTAGGGACCATCTTTTAACGCAGCCAGTCTTTGTCTTTCTGTGTCACGCATATTTTCTGCTGATCCAGCTTCGAGAGAAATTGGGCCTCCAGATGAGAGCCTTTTCAGATGTTTTCTGAAAGTATCTTTTCAACATGCCTTGATATGTGTGCTTTTGAAGACCTCGGTTCCTAAGAGAGAATATGTTTTAAAGTTTGCCTTTTGTGTCAACTTTATAGTTTGTATGTTCCTGAATTATTTTAGGGAAGACATCCACTGTTGTTCCTGTAACTGTTAGGCAAGACTCTGACATCTACTAAATAGCTGTTAGTCCTTGTCAGATTAGAAATATAAGCTTGGTTGACTAAAAAAAAAAAGCCTTTAAGATATATGGGGTTTTATAGTAGTGTAGTTAGGAATAAGTGAATGTTGGTGGATCGTGCTTCTGCCAACCTTCCTTCCCTCCCCAGATGGATATGTCACTGTCTGACATAGTCTAGCTAGGATTTCTGACGTCAGGTGATCGTTCTGTCTCTTCCCCAAAGCAACTACTACTGCTACCTTGAGTTTTTTCTAAAAAGATAGGCCATCCTTCTCTTAATTCTATCATGCTCTAGCATTATGTAATTAAAATTGAAATGTTTCGTTCAGGGCTAATGAGATGCCTTAGTGAGTAAGGATCCTGGGGCTAGGCCTGTGTTCATTCCTCTGACCCACGCATGGGAGAAGAAAACCCAGTCTTGTAGGCCATTCTCTGAACTCCACATTCACCCCCTAAATAAATGAATGTAATTACCCCTTCCCACACACACTTGTTCTGAGAAAGGGTCTTCCTCTGCAGCTCTGATTTGACTTAGAACTCACTGAGTTATACTCCGATGACCTCAGACTCAAAGCGATCCACTTGCCTGCATAGTACTGAGATCAAAGACTTGTGCTGCCATGCTTCATGTAATTTTTTTTACTCTATAAAGTATAATTTCCATTTTATTTTATTGTTCCCCGTTTTTTTTAATCTGTCATCATGAAGCCAGCTCTTTACATGGACTTTCTTAGGTTCACAAGGCAACACCAGTGGATCTAAGTCATGGTGAGTGGTGAGTGTTTACTTCTTCCAGCCTCCATGATCAATTCTTGACCACCTTACTTTGAGTGGCACTACTCATACAGTAGAGCAGCTTGGCATAGGTGTAGCATACCCGTAAGCATCGATGATACTGATGGCGGAGGCCTCTACTGTGTTTGGAATGATGAACTTCTTACTGCTCTTGTCCTTGGGTACTCCCTGGGCTCAGTGAGTTGGCTACACATAGCTGGCCCCTTTTTACTATGGTGAGTCTTTCTTTTTTGGTCATCTTGGATGCAAGACCTGAAGAGTGTAATGAAATTATTAAATTACTTTGAGATTTATTTATTCATTCATTTTTTTTTTTTTTGGTTTTTTGAGGCTGGGTTTCGCTTTAGTTTTAGAACCTGTCCAGGCTGGCCTCGAACTCACAGAGATCTGCCTGCCTCTGCCTCCTGAGTGCTGGGATTAAAGGCATGTGCACCACAACTGCCTGGCCATTCATTCTTTTTCAAGACATGGTTTCTCTGTGTAACAGCCCTGGCTGTCCTGGAACTCAATTTGTAGACCAGTCTGGCCTCAAACTCAGAGATCTACCTGCCTCTGCCTCCCAAGTGCTGGGATTAAAGGTGTGCGCTACCACTATCGCCCAGCTATTTATTGTTGTGGGTGTTTTACTGTTTTGGCTTTTCGGGGGGCCTGCCACTCAGCTCCCAAATAAATCACACACAGAGACTTACTCTTAGTTATGATTGCCTCACCTTGGCTTGTTTCTTGTGAACTTTTCTTAACCCAAGTTATCCCGACTACCTTTTGCCTCTGGGCTTTTTTATCTTTCTCTATTTCTTTTTTTTTAAATTTTTAAAAAAAATTTATTTATTATGTATATAGTGTTCTGGGCACCAGATCTCATTATAGATGGGTGTGAACCATCATGTGGTTGCTGGGAATTGAACTCAGGACCTCCGGAACAGCAGTCAGTTCTTTTAACCTCTGAACCATCTCTCCAGCCCCCCTTTCTCTATTTCTGTATACCTTTCCTTCCTTCTTACTCTGTGCCTGGCTGGGTGTCTGGCCCCAGATATTCTCCTCTCCTTGTTCTTTTGTTCCTAGTTCTCTTCTGCTCATGTTTCTCTTATTTATAGTCTCTGCCCGCTATTGGCCGTTCATTTCTTTATTAGGACCATCTCGTGTTTTAGACAGGCACAATAACATAGCTATGAGGACCATGCTTTGACAAGTATACAACTTACCAGGGCATGAAGGTTAGAATAGTAAAGGGTACGAAGACTCAAGTGAAAATAATGAAACAGAAAACACAGGATAATACTGGGAGGGAGTTCCAGGGAAAATTGCCTGCGTTTAATTTTCCATACACTTTTATACTCCGATACCACGGGGAAGAAGGCAAAGGACTGCTTTAACATGATACAAAGGACAACTATAATAGTTACTTGCTTCAATACTTTGAGCTCTCAAGTCATTAGCATTCTGTTGTTAGGCAGTGAACCCACTCTAGACCACGTGTCCTAAAGGCAGCCACTCCCTAGGTCAAACCTCCTATTTCAAAAGAAGGAGCAAAAGTATGCTTGAATTTCTGACCATTGGTCAGGGTGGAGTGGACCTACCTATATGGGCCATCATCCTAATGTCAAAAAGACCAAGTAACCACACCCTAGGTCAGGATGTGTAGCCACACTTGTCAACAATTTTGCACAAGCTAAACTCTGACTGTCAGACAAGGTGGAAATAGGCTCACACTTTTGGGCCTTCACAGAGTTAAACAAATGTAGCGTAAACAAAAGTCACTCTCCTGGCTCTCTTCGCCTTTCCTCCGCCATCGTGCGCTGTCTGCCCCCCTCGCCTTCTCGCCATGTCTTCGCACAAGACTTTCAGAATCAAGCGATTCTTGGCCAAGAAACAAAAGCAAAATCGTCCTATTCCTCAGTGGATTCGGATGAAAACTGGCAACAAAATCAGGTACAACTCCAAGAGAAGACACTGGAGGAGAACGAAGTTGGGTCTGTAAGGAATCAACAATGGCAAGACAGTTTACGCTGAATCGTGGTCCTGGATGAGTGTTATCAGATGGAGTTCAACATTTTCAACCCTGATTATGTTTAAGTTGGGAGTGGGTTCTCCAGTAATAAATTGTAGAGCCTTTCAAACTGCAAAAAAAAAAAAGTCACTCACCTGAAAATAATATTCCTTAACAACTTATTTTTGTTATTTAGATTTATTTACTTTAGTATTTTTATGTGTGTGTATGATTGTTTTTCCTATGTGTATATATGTTCACAACATGTGTGTTTCCTGCCTGCAGAGGTAAATAAGAAGAGGTATTAGATCTTTGGAACTGGGGTCACAGATGGGTGTGAACTGCCATGTCTGTCCTCGGAATTGAACCTGAATCTTCTGCAAAATCAACAAACACTGAGCCGTCTCTTCAGTTCCTATATCTTTATTTTGAGGCAGGCCTGGAACTCCCTATGTGAACTCCTTCAGCTCACAGAGATCCGCCAACTTTTGAGTGCTGGTATTAAAGGTGTTTGCCTTCATGCAAAAAGTTGAGATCTTTAAATATTGATCATGTAGTATTTATATTACTTGATTTAATTTGTGATCCAGGGGAAATTGGGATCCCTTTGGGGGTTCTTTGTCTCATTCATAAAAGAATTTCAGAATGCACTCATGGAAGCACAAGGCCAATTTTATCAGGGCTTAAAGGAGTAACTACAGGGCAGGTGAGCTGCCTGGAGGTGAAGGGAGGAAGCCATGGAGGCGTGGAGGGAGATGCATAGCCAACAAGCAGTATGGTGGGGGGAGGAGCTTTAGAGAAGGAGTTAAGGAAACACAAAATATTGGGGTGGAGGACAAAGAGTTAAAGAGAGTGTGCTTAGAAAAGAGATAGAGCCAGGCTGTGGTGGTCACACCTTTAATCCCAGCACCTGGGAGGCAGAGGCAGAGGCAGGTGGATCTCTTGTGAGTTTGATGCTAGCCTGGTCTACAAAATGAGTTCCAGTGTAGCCAAGACCGTTAAACAGAAAAGGGCTATTACACAGAGAAAGCCTGTCTCAAAAATCCAACCGACCGACCGACTGACTGACCAGCCGACCAACTAACACAAAGAAAAGAAATAGAAAGGAGGGAAAATACGCTTTTTTGAGAAAAGCTGGGCAGACTTAACCCACCCTGATTGCGGTGGGCCAGGGATTCTGGAAAGGGAAGAAAGTAACTCACTGAAGAACTAATGACTGCAGCTGTCTCTTTAGCATAGTGAGCCTGCCTTCCTGGGGTGGTCCCTTTGCCAGAGTGGCGGAATCAGCTGAGCTGGAATGTTAGATCTCCACCCAGGCATGTGAGACTATTCTCTCCCCTAACATTTGGACTGGAGTAAGCTGTACGCTGGAATCTTAATGATTTCTTTTTCTGTTAGCACATAGGATGGGCTCATTTCCCCATTTACAGGTGACAGCATTTGTGAATAGTGCTCACCGAGGAAGCTCGTCACACCCTTGTCCATTGTCTTTGGTTTTTCTTAGTTTGTACCAGATGGATCCATTCTCAGAAGGAAAATGGTTCTGAATTGCCACAGTATTCTTATAACTCATTGTGCTGAGTGATTTATTCTCATTTTTGTGTTCGTTCATGAGCTCTCCCCATTATCCTGTTCTCTCCATCCAGCAAAGCTTAATCTCTGTACACATAGATGTCTAAAGACAGACAGCTCTATTCTGAGTACAGGTGGTAGCGCTTTCTATGAGTGAAAATTGGGTAAAGCTGCCATATACCCTAATCCCCAGGCCACTCAACAAGAGGAGTATTTTTACTTGAATGTTGCTGTTCACAGTTGTTCACTGTTTGCATTAGAGCTCCTCTGTTTTGAGGTACATGTGTGGAGATTGCAAAAATATGTGAACAGTTGAGTATACATTTGCAGTCCTGTCAACTGTTTTATTAAAAAAATTAATTTTTATTTTATGTATATGGTGTTTTGCCTACATGTTTATCTTTATGATTGTATCAGATCCTAGAGTTCCAGACGGTTGGGAACTGCCATGTGGGTGCTGAGAATTGAATTCAGGTAGTCTGGAAGAGCAGTCAGTGCTCTTAACCACTGAACCATCTCTCATCCGCCTCACCCCCACCCCATCAGTTCTTTTATGCATATGTGTGGGATGTTTTAGGATCTGGTGAACTTTGAGGATGTGGCTGTGCACTTCACCCAGGAAGAGTGGGCTTTGCTGGATCCTTCCCAGAAGAGTCTGTACAGAGATGTGATGCTGGAGACCTGCAGGAACCTCGCTGCCATAGGTGAGACTTTTGCTTCTTTTCCTTAGTTAAGTTAGAGAGCAAGTGTTTCCCTCTTAGAAATGGTTTTATGTAATTTGGGTATAGAAAGGGAAGAATTTGGTGAATAAGTGACATAATAGTAGCAGGTGAGATGGCTCAGGAAGTTAAAGCCTGACGGAAGGGCTGAGCCAGTTCCCGAGTTTTTTTTTTTTTTTTGGTTTTTCGAGACAGGGTTTCTCTGTAGCTTTGGAGCCTATCCTGGAACTAGCTCTTGTAGACCAGGCTGGCCTTGAACTCACAGAGATCCGCCTGCCTCTGCCTCCCAAGTGCTGGGATTAAAGACATGTGCCACCATGCCTGGCACAGTAAGCACTCTTAACCCCTGAGCCATATCACCAACCCTTTTTTCATCTTCTTAAAAAAAATTGTTGCCAGGCTATGGTGGCGCACACCTTTAATCCAAGCACCTGGGAGGCAGAGGTAGGAGGATCTTTGTGAGTTTAAGGCTAGCCTGGTCTACAGAGTTAGTTCCGGGACTGGCTCCATAGCTACTGAGAAATCCTGTCTTGAAAATATGATGACGATGATGATGATGATGACGATGATGACGATGATGATGATGACGACGACGATGATGATGATGACGACGATGATGATGATGACGACGATGATGACGACGATGACGATGATGATGACGACAACGACGATGATGATGATCATGACGACGATGACGATGATGATGACGACGATGATGATGATGAATTTAAATTCTATGTGTGAGGGGCGTTGAGGGGCTGTGCATGTGTGTGAGTGCAGGAGCCCCTGGAGGGAAGAGACTTGGGATTCCTTTGGAGCTGGAGTTGCAGCAGGTGGTTGTGTGCTGTCCAATGTGGGTAATGGGAGCCAAAGTTGTGTTCCTGCAAGAACAGTAAGTGTTCTTAACCAGGGAGCTTTATCTCCATCTTCTGGTTTTCAGAAATTTCTGACCTTTTTTTTTCATAGTAGGGTCTCACCATGTAGATGAGTCTGGCCTTGAACTCACAGAGACCACCTGCCTCTGCCTTCTGAGTGCCTAGATTAAAAGCATTTGCCACCACCTCCAGCTTTGTTTTCATTAATTTCTAATAATTTATCATAAATTTTTGATACTATATTTTAGGCTATATATGCGAAGAACAGAATATTGAAGATTGTAAAAATTTTGGAAGATATGAAAGGTAATTTGCATGTATAAGTGGAGTCAAATGTCTCTTATAGAAACTTTAACACGTCTTATAAATTTAATTAAATCACAAAGAGAAATCACTTTAATTTATTCATCATTAGAAACTTCTCATCAGAAGTATGCACTTCAGTGTAAGAATGCTACTCAGTCTTTGCAACATAATCACTTGGATGCAATGTTCGTGAATGTCACTATTTGAGATAGCTCTGCGGGAGGCCTGTTGTATGGAACCACCAGTCCGTCGGGTTTCACACTATCATTCTATCTGGTAGAAAGGATACAGTGGAAACAGTGTTGACCTGGACCTTAATAATAGGCAGTCAGTAGAAACTAATTTGATTGTCTTTTTGGTTTGTTTTGTATTTTTAAGACAGAGTCTCTGTGTAGTCCTGGTTGTCTTGGAACTATCTCTGTAGACCAGGCTGGTTTCAAACTCACAGAGATCTATCTGCCTCTGCCTTCTGAGTACTGGGATTAAAGGTGTGCACCACCACCACCTAGCATCTTGTTTTTGAGACAGGTATCACTGTGTAACTCTGGCTGGCCTCTAGCTCACAGAGACCCACCTGCCTCTTGAGAGATTAAAGGCATGACCCTCCAAGCCTGGCACTTGTCATTTTCCACAGAAGTTGTATATTAGAGTAAAGAGGGTGGGCAGGGTGTCAAAAAAGTAAATTCTTGTACCAGATCTCAATATGAGCGTCCAGCTTCCTATTGAAGTTAAAGCTCTGTGAATATCATGACTGAAGAGGTTTTCACGTGTCATTCCTCCTTTAATAGGCATATCATATCTCACTCTGAATACACTCCATATGAGCATGAGGACTATGCAAGCAAGCCCTACGATTCCAGTTCTCTCACAAATATTCAAAGATATGTGGGTGCTCACACTGTGAATGGACCTTGTGAATGTGAGGTATGTTTCAAATCCCTTGGTTTTACAAGTACATTTGGAATGTATCACCAAACTCAGAGTGGAGAAAACTTCTGTGACTACAAGGAATGTGGAAAGCCTTCCGTTTATCCTAGCTCACTGTACACACAAGGAGGAACTCACATTGTAAGGAAATGTTATGAGTGTAACCAGTGTGGGAAAGCCCTGAGTTCTTCCAGTTCCCTTCAAAGGCATGAGAGAATTCACACAGGAGAAAGACCTTATAAATGTAGCCAGTGTGGGAAAGCTCTGAGTTCTTCCACTTCACTTCAAAGGCATGAGAGAATTCACACAGGAGAAAGACCCTATAAATGTAGCCAGTGTGGGAAAGCCTTTAGATGTCACAGTGCCCTTCAGTTACACGAAAGAATCCATACTGGTGAGAAGCCCTATGAGTGTCAGCAGTGTGGGAAAGCCTTTACATGTCACAGTTACCTTCGATTACATGAAAGGACTCACACTGGAGAGAAACCCTATGAGTGTAAGCAGTGTGGGAAAGCCTTCAGATGTCAAACTTCCTATCATAGACATAAAATTATTCATGGTGGAGAAACCTTTTATGAATGTAAACAATGTAGTAGGCTCTTCATTTACCCCTCTTTACTTCAAATGCATGAAAGAACCCACACTAGTGAAAGACCGTACAAATGTAAAGACTGTGGTAAGTCATTCCTTTACCCCTCTTTACTTCAAATGCATGAAAGAACCCACACTGGTGAAAAACCCTATGAATGTAAACAATGTGGTACAGCCTTTAGACATCACTCTTCCCTTCGACTGCATGAAAGAACTCACACGGGAGAAAAGCCCTATGAATGTCCACAGTGTGGGAAAGCCTTTACTCGTCACACTTCCCTTCGATTACATGAAATAACTCACACCGGAGAGAAACCTTATAAATGTAAAGAATGTGGAAAAGCCTTTAGACATCACTCTTCCCTTCGGTTGCATGGAAGAATTCATAGTGGAGAGAAGCCCTATGAATGTAAACAATGTGACAAAGCCTTCATACGGTACAGTTACCTCCGATTACATGAAAGAACACACACAGGAGAAAAACCTTATGAATGCAAGCAATGTGGGAAAGCCTTCAGCCGTCACAGTTCCTTTCAGAGACATAAATCTATTCATGCTGTGGAAAACCCCTATGAATGTCAGCAGTATCTAATTCCTTTATCACTGTTTCCTCCAAATACATCAGATAACTCATATTGGTGAAAAACACTATGATGTGAACAGTGTTAAAATGTTTATCCTTATCCATTTAAAACACATGTAAGAACTGAAGATGTCACATGATAAGCCTTATCCACATAAATGAGATGGTTTAGATTTTAAACGCACTAAGGAACTCATGCTAGGTATAGTTTCTACAAATGTGCAGTGTGTGGTCAGTCCTTTGCTAGCCACTCTTCCTTTCACAGCACAAATTAATTCATGCTGGGGAAATGCCTTATGAGCGGAGACGATATGGTCAGTCTTTTATTCCTGTTTGCTTCAAACACATGAAAGAACTTAAAATGCAAAATGCCGTGAGTGTTGGCAGCGTGCTGGAGCCTTCAGGAGATGCAGGTCCCTTTGTTAACATGAAAGACTTACTGGAGGGAAAGAAACC